AAAAACTTGATATTTTGAGCACTCAATTGAAAATGTACACTTAACGTATCAATTGTACTTACAGGTTGTGGTTTGGAGAGTTTGTTAGTCCAAATTAAGAAGATTAGAAGTCAACGAAGATAAAAGCCAAGATTAGAGAAGCAGTCCTCGGTAAAATGACAAGCACACAACAAAAGGTTCGAATTGTATCACTGTGGTATCCTTGAACACAGCGTCTTCGTGACATGATGTAAACACACTAACTAGCGGAAGTGTTCGTGGGCAGGTCAGACTCTGTTCGTATTTCGCGGGCAGGCGGGGATTATGCAAATGCGTTACCCAGTGACGTATACCGGTAACAGGCAAAAGATTCGAAAATATGACGACTCGTTAAGGTGATTCAGATTCGACTCTCTCTTTTGAGAGACAATATCTTTATTTATCCTGCACTTTTTTTGTTTGCTTTTGTCTGATTAACAACTTTGCAGATTGTTTTCATTTAAGGATAGCTACGTTATAAACTGCAAAAGAGATGCTTTTCAAAAACCCATATGACCTGCTCTTTAACAATAACACAGAGAAGTATACACACAATATCGGATTTGGATCGGTCTCATCTGACCGATACCCGATCCGGCCGAAAATGGCAGTATCGGAGCCGATACCGATACTGAGTATCAGATCGATGCATCCCTATTCCAAACAAAAGGAAACATATTGGTATCGGCATTGGCTATTGGCCAAAATGAGATGAAAAATATTGGCGTATCGGATATTGGCAAAAATCCAATATCGCGCATCCCTACTTCTTACCAATGTATTTTAATTGTGTAGGGTCATTAAAAGCAAATATGAAGAAATATCATCTCCAGACATCAATTTGGGCAATTACTGCATCTGTCGAGTGCTTGAATAGAAAAAAGAAATAAAACGTCCATCCCTAATGCAAATCAATTACATTTTAAACTAACTGGCTCCACTTCTTCATACCATTTTTTGACTTCATATCTTCATACAGCTCCAGTTTGCTGAGCATTTCCTCTCTCTCCTCTTGCAATTCAGTAACGCGACTATGTAGGGTCGTGACATCAGGGGACATGTCGAGACATACTCCAGACTGAAGTCAAAAACAGAATGCAGTTAGTTTAATTTAGCTGGATATTCATCTGTGCAAATCTAATAAAAAATAATATCCTTTCTTACCTTAACTTTTTTGAGTTCCTCCTCGAGCTGCCTGATCCTACATTTGGACCATGCTTTCATTTTTAAGAACTTTGCTTCTGCTTTACTGGCCTCTGCTTCTTTCAGCTTCACTTGGGCTGAATTGGACAGAACAAAACAGACTGAAATATTAAAACAAAGCCACTGAGAAGGAAGGACACTGAGAGTTTACAATATCTTTAACTGAAAATAATAAACACCCTTTTACTATCATGTAGGCACATTATAAGAAGGTGTCTGCTACATTTGTAAAACATGACATATGTGACTCTGGACCACAAAACCAGTCTTAAGTAGCACGGGTATATTTGTAGCAATAGCCAAAAATACATTGTATGGGTAAAAATTACCAATTTTTTTAATGCCAAAAATCATTAGGAAATTAAGTAAAGACCATGTTCCATGAAGGTATTTTGTAAATTACCTACCGTAAATATGTTTTTAAAAAAAAGTAATATGCATTGCTAAGGACTTCATTTGGACAACTTTAAAGGCGATTTTCTCAATATTTGATTTTTTTTTTTTTTTGGCACCCTCTGATTCCAGATTTTCAAATAGTTGTATCTCGGCCAAATATTGTCTTATCATAACAAACCATACATCAAATGGAAAGCTTATTTATTCAGCTTAATTTAAATAAATTTGCCCTTATGACTGGTAAGATAGACTTCATTCACATCAAGAACTAGGCTCTACAAGGCTATGAGATCACAACACAACACAATTTAGTGCAAATTCAAAAATGTTTGTATTGAATTGTACTTAGCAATTCATTATATTATTAAGTATATTATTTTAAGACACCTAATATAAAGTGGGACCCTTTTTTTTAACAACGGACCTTTTTTTTTTTTTTATCTTTTAATCATCATGAACATACTGGGCTGCGTTTCCCAAAAGCATTCTAAGCTTAAGTTGATCGTAGAACTACTGTCACCAATGGAGCTACGATCATCTTAGGCTTAAGATGCTTTTGGGAAACACAGCGCTGTTTGATAAAATCATGAATAAACTTTATTGGAATATAAATGTCTCAGATTTAATGCTCTATAACAGATTAGAGCTACATGAAACTGTAAATTAAATGAATTTGGACAGTATACTGGAAGCAGAGAGAAATACGGATTTCTTTCCTAAACCTTATTTTATAATGTGGTGTTTTCCCTAAAAAAAAAATGACAAATTACTAGTTTATGGCACATTCCTAAATGGAGACGTTAGACACTGCTACATTAAGTGATCCATTAAGATAAAAGTTTATAGATCTTTAAACAAAATTTTAAAATTCCAAGTTATTGTGACAGGTGCTTAACCAACATTGAGATCATTTGAGAAAGGAAGGTCAAACTGCAGACAAAATTCTTTAAAGTCTGTGTAAAGTCAATATTAAATGTGTGTTCTGAATTTATCACACCACAGAAAAATGTGTTATTAACCACCCAGCCAAATTTGAATGCTAAAAAAAAAACACCAAGTGAATAAAATAAGCAGTATTCTCTGCTCTCAGACGCTGGGGGAGTGTCGGCTGAAACCACGCCCACTCACGGAAAAGCTGCCGTCTCTCTCTCAACTGTCTTCCTCTGCAGCTTATTTAAATGAGAAGGCCGAGCTGTTTTGTAAATCGTGTTGTACTGCAACCAGGTATTATGCATTTACGTGACGAAGGCATAGCTAGTTAGCAACGTCTAGGCTGTAGTAACGAACGGCAGTAACTTGCGATTGAGCGGGCAAACCACTGCGCTGTAGTTATTAGGTGTGTTCGACTTGAAGCAGGGCTGTGCAGAATGACCAGTGTATGACACGAGAGCGATTCGAAAGCATGAGGAGCGGTCTGCTCTCTATCCACCTTTTTCTTCAACGCGGAAGTAAGCCTATGGGTGAGACTTCCGGTTCATTAGCCGCTATAGGTAAATAACGAGGAGAATAACAACGTGCAGTAAACGGTAAAACTGTTTGCACTACAAACCAGTGTGTTCATAATTAAGATAATACATTAAAATAATATGAGAAGACACACCAACTTTCAATATCAAGCAGCAAAATGAATTGTTTTGCTCAGCTAAAAATAGCTGGACGGAGAGGACGCAGATGAGACCGGAAGCCAGACCCATATAATTTACAAATGGCCACGCCCATTTTTACAACAAGAAAAAAGGTGGATAGCTCTGTACTTTGATGTCACACTGATCGATCTGCGCAGTGCTGCTTCAAGTCGAATATACGTCTTATAGTGTTAGGAGAGGGGTCATGCTCGGTGGCTCCATTGCGTTATCGAGCCACCGTTTTAGCCCCACCCAAAAAACTGAACACAGAATTGGTGAAAAACGGTTTAACGGTTTAACTCCACAATTCAGTACTACATAGTTCAGAGTCTTTGTAATGGGTTTCTGCAATACATTTCTAACATTTATAATGTATTTAGAAACAATTCTCAGAATTCTCGTTACACAGACTTTAAGCATGTGACATGATTGTCTACCTTGCAGCTCTGTGACTCTCTGAGCTGTGATGCAGGTGGATTGGTTTGCTGATGCATCTGCGGGCTGTGATATAGAGCGCTGAAGAGTCTCAAGCTGTCTGCGTAAGGCCTGCTCCTTCTCTGACAACTCCGTCTCATGTTTATCAGCAGCACTGAGCAGCTCTGCTTCATGTTTCTCCAGCAGATCCTTGATCCGAGCCCGAGTAATGTGACGTTCTGCCTCCAGCTTTGACTGAAAGTTTTCTTTCTCACCCCGCAAGAGCTGCATTTGTTCTGTCAGCTCCTACCAAACAAACACACACAACTCACTTCATAAATCAACTCTGAGAACTGTAAGCAATAGGGACTGACTATATATTGTAATTATTTCCTTATGTGTGCACAAACATACAGACACCAATCACAAAGGAAGCTACATACTATAATAAGAACCAAGGAAATTGAAACATTTGAAGATCATTCATGTGAATTCAGTTATGATTTTTTTCATTATAATTCCATGTATTAAGGAGTACATATTTCGTTATTCTCATCATTACTTCTCTTTTTTCCCCCGTTTCTTTCTGTTCCAATGTTGTTTTTATTTTGTCACCCCGTAAACATTTTAATAAAAAAAATATAAGTAAATAATAGAAACATTGTGAATCAGCTTAATGGACAGTACAAAAAAACTAGATGCAATTTTTATGATTATGATTTGCTTTTCAATAACAACACTTGTTCCATCTGTGCAAATAATGGTCTAGCGTAAAACTGCATTGGTAAATGGCTGATATTTAAATTACTTTATGTACGTTAAGAGGATATAATTTTTTTAAGTAGAGCCACGTCATGTGTCACATGACATCTATCCCTGAACAAAGCACAATGTGCAATACTGTCAGCATGCAGAAGGCAGACTTGTAAAAGTGCAATATAAGTTAAAGTCCAAGAACATGGAAAGAAATAGAAATGACATAAAAGTTTGGAAGTAAGCCAAGTTTAATTGCATTTCCAAGATAAATGTTTTATATCCTGCTATGCACTTTGAGAGGGCTGGACAAAGCCTCTCTCTCTAGTCTAATGTCTTCTCCCCACATTCCAAAGCAAATTTGTAAAAGATCGGAAAGTGAATTTTATGTTCTTCACAATCACAAGATTTTGATGGTGTGCAGTGAAAATAAACTTGATGTGCCTTACCTTACTTAACAAGCACACATTTTTTTTTATTGAATGTGAGGTCAGATAAAGACAGAAACTCATAAGACAAGACTATCTGTATGAATGCACTATCCACCTTTTCCCTGAGTAACCAATGATGGATTCCAACTTACGCTTGGGTGCTCTCGTGTTCCGGTCTCCATAGAAATCCATGTTAAAATTCCTGTACTTGTTTTGCGTAACTTACCACCAGCAAATCTGACTGTGTCCGGCGCTGTTTGCATGGCTTGCAGCGCTTAAGTTACTGTGTGTGAAATAATAAAATAATGTGTGCTCTTATCATTTTGTGGACAAAATCACACAAACTTCGCCCCGATTGAGCTGTATGTAGGATATGTGCCCTCATCTGTTGGCTAACCGTGGGTCGCTTCATGTCATCTATGCACTCATTAAACTATGACAGACGAGTTACTGAAAAAAGACGGTCATTGCGACACTTTAAAGTGATGAAACTCTGGAGCCATGTGCTTTTTAAAACTATTTTCATAGGTTTAACGTTATATTACCGGCTCTGAAAATATGTTAATTTGACTAGAAACACCAGAGACCAGAAATGTAAAGCACTGTTCCAGTTAGGCGAGACTTCCTCGTTCAGAAAAAGGTGGATATGACCAGTAATATCTCATTTGCAAAAAATTTTAATGTATAAAAATAAAAATGTGATCGAGAATTTGGGAAGAGAAAATACATGAATACATGCTTGCCATAAATAGTGATGTAATAAACTCACTGTATGTATGAATGCATGTTAACATTGTACTGCATTTTTTTAAAAACTAAATGTAAAAAGAAAAAAAACGTCATTGACCATTTAAGCA